GGGTTTGGGGGTTATTTAGGGTTTAGGGGTTTCAGCTGTAAATGGGACGGTCTTAAGCAAAGCCTTGAGGGAATCGCGCAATGAGACAAGCAGTCATGGCCCGATCGTGGAGGGCCACTAACACTTTTCTCCCACTCCACGCCGTTTAAGGCCGCAAAGCCACCCTAACCTATTCCTTCTAGGGTTTACCTGAAAGCCGCCTTGCTTTAACGAAGACGGGTTTCTCGGTCCTGGCGCAAAGTCTTCCTATCCTGAGCTTTGCTGTGCTTATGTTGATCACAGTGGCTCCTGTGCCTACTATTCTGTTTGGTGCCGCTGTTGTTTAGGGTTCTGCGTCTACCATTATTTCTTATGCTGCTCTTGTTGTCGTTCCTGATGCTGCCACGATTGTTGTGGTGGTTGTTGTCGTTTGTGGTGGTTGTTGTCGTTGTTGTTGCTGCTGCTGTCGTTGCTCTTGCTGCCATTGTCGGTCAAGGTTGCTATCCATGGAATTTGAAGCTTACCGTTTTCCCTTTGCTCCCGCGCCTTAGTTCGTACACCAAACCTCGACCTGAGTAACATAGGGGCCTTAATGACTAGAATGGGGTTTTGGGGTATTATACTACAATTATAACAAGGAACCCCCAAAACCCTATTCTAATAATGAAGGCCCGTACATTAGCCAAGTACTGCGAGGCCTGGAGCCTTAAGGAAGAAGCTCCCAGACACGAAGCCCCCTAAATGCTGAGTTCAGAAGCCAGAAGCCCAAAACCCCACAGGCGTAGTTCTCTAAATCAAAGTCCTTCTGAGGGTCCCTTTTATAAGAATGCTAATTACTATATTGGGGATCCAAAAAAGGGACCCTGATTTAGAGAACTCCCCACACCCTGAACTTGAAGACCCTTTGACCCTTTGCTGCAAAAACCTAAAACCCCTCTCTCAGGGTTTAGGGATTAGGATTTCGAGTTGACATTCTGAAAGAAAGCAGGATGGCTCGGCCCTCCTCTTCGCGGCGGGGCCTCCAAGACTCTCACAGAGTTTGATTCCATTTAGAAACCGGGGTGTAGGGTTGAAGCTATAACAGGTTTAGGGTTTGTTTAGGGGTGTATGGGTTGAGGCTTCACCAAGGAAGCGGGTAGGAATTGCAAGAGCTTCAAACGACGACGGCGACGACGACACTTACCCCTACCACTGGCCCTACCAGGTCACCACCACCACCACCACCACCACCACCACCACCACCACCACCACCACCACCACCACCCCCACCCCCACCGCCACTGCCACTGACGCTGCTGCTGCCGCTGGAGCTGCCGCTACCGCTACAGCTGCCAGTGCCACTACCACTACCACTACCACTACCACTACCATGACCACTACCACCACTACTACCACCTACTACCACCACTACTACCGCCACTACTACCACTACTACCACCACCCCCACTACTACTACGACGACTACTACAGTGGTTTCTAGGTTGGTAAAACGGGTTGAGTGGTGGCATCAGTAGCAGCATTCGTAGTAATATTGTTAGTCGGTGGTAGCGAAGAAGGATGATGACGATGATGATGAGGTGATGGTGATGATGATGATGGTGATGATGACGACGATGGCGATGACGATGATGATGACGATGATGTGATGATGGTGTTGTTGGCGATGGTGATAGTTATGGTACGGTGATGATGTTGACGAAGATGAAGATGATAAATATGATGCTGCTGCTGGTAATGATGATGATGAAGGTGATGCTGTTGATGATGATGATGATGATGATGATAATGACGATGGTGATGATGTTGATGATGCCGGTAAAGGATGATGATGATGATGACGATGATGGATGGTGATGGTGATGGCTGATGATGATGATGATGATGACGACGACGATGGTGAGGAGGATGCTGATGATGATGACGATGGTGGTGGTGGCGACGAGGTGATGATGGCTACTTTGGATTATGGCGATGACGACAAAACTCCTGATCGGCTTCTTGGCACTGCTCGAGTGTACATCTCATCACGCTCATCAATAAACAGAAAAAGAGACATCAAGCAGGACTAGAGATCGGGAGCCCAGCTGCCTGCAAGTAGCGCCCATGCCAAGGCAGCTGCCAGGAGAGCAACAAGGCGGCCGCTGCGGCGCGGGAGTCCTGGCCGAAGGGTTCGGGTGTGACCCTTTTGTCTTAGCCAGACAAATCCCAGGTTCTCCTGGTCTCTGCCTCTGGGAGACCTGCGAAGCCATTTGGGCAAGCCTTGGGAGATGCATCGACCGTCTCCGGAGGACGTGGGGCGTAGCATACATCCATCACGCGATTTTAAGTCATGAGTAGTCAGAGAGGTCCATGACGATCTGTCAGCAGTTTTAGCTGATACAAATGTTACAAGTATCGTTCCCTCTGATGCCCATTTTACAATACAAGCGCTAAAGATCCGTGGTGGCACCCAGGTCCCAGGTCTTGCAAGAATCACATCACCGCCGCTGTCGAGCCACGAACCGTTCAGCAATAAGAAAGGAGTTCACGCCCCGGGTTCTGCTGAAACCAAGCTTTGGCAGGATGCCTTGGCCCTACTGCAGCGGCTACAATAGTTGTCCTGCGACTTGCTTGAAAGCTGCGTGCCCTTATCTCTTTGTGCTGTAGAGCCAGCCCAACAAGAAACTCTGGATTCCACTGAGAGATCGGCACAGCGGACGGAAGAGGAACAAATGCCAGTGAGCCAAATAGCTGAAGACCGGACATTCGGGCAACAGTTTTGCTGCAGAAAAGCCGGCAAATCCTAACAATGCACAGCAACCGCTCAGGCTCCGAATCGGCATAGCACGGCATAGCCTGAATGCAGGAGGTGATGACGTAGCCGTCTGCCACCGGGATCACGTGAGAGAGGCCTCGAGTCACACCCTGCATACACCACATGGCCCTAAGTGCTTCATGTCGGTCTGGGTGCAAGGCCGTCCCCGGAATCCACGACCAAGCCAGTCAGGTTCGGGCTGCTGCCCTCGTACTGTTCCTCGGTGACCTGTGTGTCACTAATGACAGCCCGCTCGGAAAGCGATTCCAAGAAACTGAGGCTCCATCCGCTTGAGCGTACAAGGCCAGAACGGCCTGCACGCCGATGTAGAGGCCATTGACCTCAAAGCTACTTATGGCCTAGAGGCCTAGACTAGAATGCCGTCACGCCGGCAGCTTGCAAGTGCTAGCTCAGGTCAGGCACGTTGAAGGTCTCGAACCTTGGAAAGTCAGGGAGGGCACCGCAGAGCAACAGATACTGCTGCACCTCACACCTCAGTTTGCTCCACTTCCTGAGGGTTCGGGCATCATCTCTGCCATCAGCTCCCGGTTCTCTGGGGTGTTAAAGGGCGGCTCTGTGAGGAGGAAGTCCTCAGCAATCGGGACACTTCAAGTCAAAGTGGTGAAGGATGGTTTAGGATCTTGCTTGGAGCTTTCGTGCAGTCCGGCCACGTGATCCTCTGGAATGCAGCGCAAACTGCGAAAAATCGCCTCGCTTGGGTCAGGAGGCTAACTGCTGACTACTCAAGGAGGCACCGAGACATGACTCCCTAAAACATAAGACGTAACTCCATTAGAATAAGAAGCAGTCTTGAAATGTCCCCAAACCCATACACTAAGCATCCCTAAGCTTTGAACACAATCCGGTTCAGGCCTGCTGCAGGAAGCGCTCCATGTCGTCCCAATGCTCTATCCTGCTTGGGGCATTTGTGGTTTGTACATGGTACTTGCACGGGCGGCTGTATGTTAGAAACAGACACACTTTTGTTCCGCAAGAGATCTCAGGAAACGTCATCATGCTGACGAATCCATGAATACGTTTCGGGGTTCTACTGCAGGGCTTTCATAAGTGGTCTGGGAGGTCGAAGCTGGGCTTGCATAACAAACAAAATGACCAAAATGATTCTAGCAATTTCCATCAGCTGCTACTACTACTACGACTACTACTCCCACTACTACTACTACTACTACTACTACTACTACTACTACTACTACTCCTACTACTACTACTACTACTACTAAACACTACGACGACGACGACGGCGGCGGCGACGACTACTACTGCCACTACTACTA